TTTCAAAAAACAATATTTTTATACCTAACTTATAAATTGCTGGTAAAACTTTGATATGCTTAATGAATATATATTGGAAATCCATCTTTTCTTCTTTAAATTAATGTTTCATAACTTCCTCACAAAGATGACTTGTGATGAACTAAACACATTCTTCATTACATTGTATAATAATAATTATAATAATAATAATAATAATAATAATAATTGCTTACACTTATATAGCGCTTTTCTGGACACTCCACTCAAAGCGCTTTACAGGTAATGGGGACTCCCTCCACCACCACCAATGTGCAGCATCCACCTGGATGATGCGACGGCAGCCATAGTGCGCTAGAACGCTCACCACACATCAGCTATCAGTAGGGAGGAGAGCAGAGTAATGTAGCCAATTCATAGAGGGGGATTATTAGGAGGCCATGATTGGTAAGGGCCAATTGGAAATTTGGCCAGGACACCGGGGTTACACCCCTACTCTTTTCAAGAAGCGCCCTGGGATTTTTAATGACCACAGAGAGTATAAGATGTGTATTTACACAGTCATTGCCTCCCCGATCGTATGTGAACACAGGCTGGCTGTTTTCACAGGTACTGGGTTGTGGCATAGATTAATATGTTTTAGATTTTATCCACAGACATCTGAAAGAGACAAAAGTTTGATGCTGTATTCTCTGCTTGTTCTTCGCTGGGCTTTACATCAGAAAATGACCATATAATTATTGTTTTCAGCCCGTGCAGGTGGTAACTGAGGTCAGGTTCAAATGAGATCCTTCAGTATTCCATTAATTTTCTAAAGAGAATGTTCTTTAGTTAGGATGAATCCACATGGTGGTGCAGGAAATGCCCAGGGACCAACTAACATTTTTTTACTAGGGAATCCATAGCTTTGTGGAGAGATGACAGACGTGTATGGCTGTAGGTGATTGTGTTAAAAAATTAGTCTTCCCTACCAGTGAGACAGGTTTTCTGGATAATTCACTGATTGACTCATACATACTGTATATACACATAATATTGATTTATTTTGTTGACAGTTTTATACTTTTAACAGCTGGGGTATTTTACCAGAGCAATCTGGTTGAAAAATCTTGCTCAGGGATATAACACTTTCCCACTTGGAATTGAAACCCACAACCTTCGGGTTATAGGTCCCAAGTCCCTGACTACTACTCCCTCAATACAGAGTTATATGTAAAATTAGAATAATTCCTGTATTTTCTTTTGTTGAGTTGTGCACAGTAGCATTTGTTGTATTTACTCTAAAATCTTCTTCATAATACGATAACCATATTAAACACACAGAACAAAAAATAACTCACCTCGCCCTCAGGACATGCTTGAATTAAATCTTTTTTTTTTCTATTTCATCAGCACTTTCAAGAAAAAAACTTTAGAACTTTGAATAAATTAATTGATCCATTCCTAGCCCCTGCTGAAATTCCCATTTCTGTTTGATTCTGCAGTCAATTGGAGAATCTGCCATTTCCAAAAACAAAATTGTAAGCACAATGAAACATTTTAGATTTGCCTACGTGAATCTTTTTTGTATCCAGAGTAAAGTTAACATATTCTGCAATACAGGATTTCAGCAGAATGTATCTCACCAACATTTCAGTATTTTTCAGTGTACTTTTTGTGTAATAATATTTTTGTTAAAACAAAATGAAAGAGGATTCTAAATAAATAACAATTCTGCATCCACAATTAAATATGCAGGCTCCACATTTATCAACTGGTCTTCACAGAATTTATATATGGCCATGTTATTGTTGCATATATTAGTAGCTGCATTATTTTCCATTTTTGAAATAAATCTCTGAGCATAATCATGATTACTATAGTGTGTATTGTTAAAAGTGGATAAATATGTCCCAAATGAAAAATACTACATAAAAATAATGGTAATAATTTTACAATGCACTCACAAATAATTATTTCAACTTTAGAAAGTGTGATTAGTAGAAGGAATATTTTTTCCTCTAAAGCAGTGTTTTCCAAACATTTTCTGTGAAAGACACATTTTTAATGTCCCAAACATTTTGCTGCCCACTTAATTATTTTAAAATAATAAGGACTAATATTGCAACTAGATTACAATTTTAATGAAAAACATTTGATTTCACTTTTTTAACTAGAATTTCAATGTGAAATGTTACTTTTTACAATGCGAAAACTTGAATATTTGGTTCAAAGCTAGAAACAGTTACACAAGGCTCCTGATCCAGACTTTTTGATGTGATCTCTTCTGATTATTTTGCACACTTGAGACCTCTCCATTGCACACAATTTGGGAATCACTGCTCTAAGAAACTTTTTTCTCTTTATTAAATGCCCTTTAACTTTCAGCACCAATAATTTATTATTACTTTCCATAGAGTTAGAAATGTTTCTATTCTGGAAGCCCACATATCATTTAACTATGCTGTGTAACATGGGGTTATATGGGATATGGGGTTAATGTGTTGTGGCATGTGTACTAGAATATACTAGAGTCTGTACTAGGGGATTCTGAGATAGTTTTTTACTGAGATGCCATATAGGGTAGGTTGGATGCTGTTCACCTATAGTCTATTGGAATTTGTGTCCCGTGAGTAGCCAGGCAGGAGCTATAATGAAACAAATAAAGGTTTATTCCATGCACAAAAGAGATGAAAAGAAACGTTTCGGTTGTGGAGCCTTCTTTGGGTCAGAGCTATAATGTTCTGACTCTCTGTTAATCTTTACATTGCATTGGAAGCAAGCTGGAGCACCACCTTAGATGAAAATTGTAGTCTTTTTGACATGTACCATTCTGGCAAATGTTTGTAAATCTCAAAAAGAAACTGAAAAAGGATCCAGAAGCACGTAAATGCACTACCAATACCAGCAGCTCCTGAATTCTTTTTTTTTATTGGCCAATTATTCAGTCCAGAATCTTCTACCTTCATCAAGGTAGAACAATAACATGCACATAATGAGACCTTTACACAACACAACAATAGCTGTAAATTGAAAACGTACAGTATATGAATTATAATATAATTATATTATAATCTTATCACTATGCACATCCCCAAATATATTTACACAGCCCAAATCCAATAAAACTTGAAATAAACATTGTTCTATAACCATATAAAAGGCCAAATAAATGAATCAAAACTTATACCTTTAAGTTTGTAAAGGATGCAAATAATTAGTTATGAAACAATTAGTTATTACAGGGATAATTCTCTTTTAGATAATTCTAATTTTGTTCAACTACAATTACAAAACTACATTATTCAAGCAGTTTTAAAATGTATTAATTCCTATACATCAAGGTGAGACTTCATCTGTCAATCACACAAAAAATTATCACACATTCAATTCAATTATACTCACTATGTCTAGATCTTTTCAACTACTCCAGAACGTACCCTTTCAAAGTCGGAAAAGATTTTGAAAAGGTAAATTTGAACCAAAAATCTGATGACTACAGTCTGTGGCTATGCAGTTGCCCTATGCAGGACAAAAGAACACTCCCACAGTTTGGTTTCCGGACAACTACAGTACGTTCAACCAGTCCTTGGCTGAAACAGTTCAGTAAAATCACTTGCTGAAACTGCAAGTGTAAAAAACATGAACGCTCTAAAGTGACTTTTGTCCAGATGGAAGAACACATTTGATATCTGGGCAAAAATATTTGAAGAAACAGTATATGGCAAGTAAAAGAAGGGAATTTTGGCACTATTGACTTTGTTTTTGATTTTATTTTGTTTTTACTTACTGTTTGCAAAAATCTTACAAATAAATTGCAATCACATTCTCACTCTCTCTACACACAATGTGAACATACAGTATAGAAACGGTGATAATAACTGACGCCTTATTTGACAGGGACACAACACCAAAATGTGTAGAGATTTATATACTTTGAACTGTTGATGGTGAAAGGTTTGGAAATCTATGTGATTGGGTAAAAGAGCTTGTGGTTCATCTGGGCATTAGCCCAGAAGGTTTTATTCATGTCATGTCTTCCCATGCAGACTTTACACATATATATATATACACTGCATATATATACAGTATATGCAGTATACAGTATGTGTGTTAGGATGTTTGATTTGAACCCCTGGCTCAGCCATGTCTACAATTGCCTGATCTGCATAGCCCAGAGAAGAAACTCATTGTACCAGAATGTCAGTTCCTCACTGCAGGAAGTCTCGTCTTCTTTTTGGTTGTATATACAGTAATTCAATACCTTTAGTCATTTTTTATAATTATTGAAGCACATAAAAGAAAACATGTTTCACAAAATTAAGTTGCTGCTAAATGTTTTTACGACCTGTTTTTGAATAGGAGGTTACTGATAATGGAACTGGCTTTTGAATGAATGGGTTTGCTGATTGCCATTAAAACCAGGAATTACTTAAGCTTTTATTCTGATGCAAAGGGGGTTCAGAACATTCAACAAAATCTTGCTGGAAACTGAACAAGATCAAAACCTAGTCCTGATGTATCCTTAGCAAAGCCTGAAAAGTGGCTATTGAAATGAAGGACAAAACAGTAAACAAAAGTGCAACACTGAGAGCCCATCTCAGGGAAGCCAATGTTATCCAAGTACCAAATATTTTGACCACTTCTTTATGAAGTGACAGAAAAAAGGCATAATAGTAACATCATATATAGTATATGGGCGTGCTTATATTTAGAGAGAGTGACTAATCATTCTTTCTATGTACATGTTTGCCTGCACACACATTGCTGTATATTCGTCCCTGAGAATGTCTTGTTAAACCTGCAAAATGAAGTAAAGAAGCCCACCCTTCAACTTAATGGCAACAATGAAAACGACTATTACCCTGAATACACACTGCAGCCCGCGTTTTCTCCTGGGCGGCTGTACAAACTGCACTACAGTAGTGTTCGGCTAATGTGAATCGCACAATAACAGAAACTGGAGCAGTTGCCAAGGCAGCGAGCTCCCCTCCCCCTTCGGCTCTGTGTTCCCTCTATTATCAGCAGAGGTCGCATGGCATTTAGCATGGAGAGGAACAGTCGAAAAGAGACTCTCTCCTGAACTGAACGCATGGATAAGCACTGCTGCATGACAAAGCTAAGAGGGAGTGCGAACGTAGCGGGAAAATAGAAACGCAGAGCCGACAGACTGGGGGAAAAGACGAAAGAAAATCAAACCTTATTAAAGGAAAGCAAAAAGTTAATGTGCACTTGGGACTACAGCAACTAACACATTTGATTAATATTGCCTTGTTACTTTTTTTTATAAAGGACTGGAATATTTTACTTTTTTCCTACAACACATTTCTTGGCATCTTTTAATACAATACAGGATCCAGTTTATAAATTAAAAAAGTCGATTGAGCATCAGTCGTGCAAGCTTGTTGGTGCTGAAGTTAGAACGCGAACGGATGTGAGGAAAGGGTGCACTGAAAGACTCAACCCCTTTTCTCTTTCTCTCCGTCTGTTTCTTTTTTGTTCGGTTAAACAATAGAGAGTGAGAGAGAGAGTCACAGACATTGAACCTGCTTTCATGCCGTCAGTCTTGCGGACTCTGAGATGGACGTGAGATTTTATCCAGCACCCCCTTCTAGCGTGGGTTCATGTTCATTACCAACTGATCCAAGTTGCCTGAGCTCTTTGGACTATTATCACTGCAACAAGGTAATTAGGAACTAATGCGTTTATATATTAATTGTACAGTATCGGTGTATTTAACCTGTTTCCACCATCTTTCAATAACGTGTCACATTTTGCAACTCGTGTCAGTGCTGGTGCGCTGCTACTTTGACTTGTTTTTAATTGTAGGTGTTTTCCTTCTTTCTGCAGCCTGGTACCGCACTGTAGTCCAACATGCTGACCGGGTTCTCGGTTCCAGTCGGAACCGTTTAGATACTGTTCATCTTTGCAGCCGAATGCGACACTTCGTTTGCTTCTTTCCAAATGAGACAGGGCTAGAATTCCCAAACTTTTCTGTTTCCCTCTCCTCGAAGGAATTCTAGCAACCTAGAAGGGCACAACCAATTGGTTTGCAGCAACCCCTGCTACGCTGTTACCTCCTCCAAAAAGAGGAGCACTTTTAGTAGGTGGAACAAAAAAAAAAACGAAATCGTAGAAGTGTAACCGAACCTAGTGGTTATACAGTGTATGAGTTTATGACAACAGAACCTCTACGATTTAAGAATAGTTATATATATTCCTTAAAAGTCAATTAAAAGGATGTAGATTTTGATAGAGCAAATGATAATTAGTTTCTAACTCCGCATAGGAACCATTGCACTAGATGCATGTAGCAGTAACTCCATATAGCTTAATGGACGCTGTTTGCGCTTTTGTTTTGATCTTTCTGTAAAAGCACCAGACATAAATAGTAACTTAACAATAAACATAAAACCACGCAGCAATTACAGAGTAGCTGAGTACTACAATTTCAGAAACCCGCTAAGTCAGTAAAACATCCATTTCGATTGACTTTCCTGGCAAATGGTTTTGTTCCATGCTAAAAGCAGATTCCATGAAGTACTACTTAATCTTTTTATATTTTTTTAAGCTTTCAGGCATAGATTACTGCTAAAAATCCGGTTTAAAATCTGCTTACTTATTGGTTTGCTGGGTTCTATGGTGTTTTGATTTAAATACACATTTCAGGGACTTGAAATGTTTAAAGTCATTTAAATTTTAATTCGACTTGATATCAATTCTCTCGATTACTCTGCAGCTATTAGCAAATGTGGAGACTATGAATGATATGGGCTCTCAAAAGTGATTTTGTTATCTGTAAATATAAATATCATTTATAAGTTGCCATACTTCAAGTACAGGGTATAAAAAATAGAAAGAAGTACCCAGCTATTTGCATTTAGGAAAATAATTCAGGCAGTAGCATCCTCTAGCTCACTTCTAAGGCTTTTTTCATTGTATAATTATCGATCGGGAAAGACACAAATCAATAAATAAAAGGTTAAGATTCAGTAGTGTATCTTTTTCCACTGCTATATTTTCCAAATATTATATACAGTACCATTCATTGCACTGTGTACACAATACATTGTTTTTATATGTTCTTATGTCCTGTGAAAAGGGTAAAAATACAGATATGCAGGTTTGCATAATGTACGCTGTGCAAGCGCACGAATGCACAAAACAGTACATTTTACCGAATGTATGCGTTTTCAGTCGATATTAAAGGGAGTTGTGTTGTATGTGGTTTGATTTTTGTCTCTGTCACTGTATTGTAACAGCACCTGTTGTCAGACGTTAGTCGTGTAGCAGTTTTAAATTTTATACTCCAAAGATTTCGAAGCAATTCCAGGACACAGTCTGAAAACTCCTGGAAGCTGAGGTAACTTTGTATCAGTGTCGTCGTTTATTTTTATCTTTTGTGTTTTTTCGTAAAAGGGTGTCTTTGCCTCAGCGCCTCATAGAAGCTCACTAGTCATAACATAGCAATTGTGTTATAACCTAGTTTTGTTTTCCTGTTTAAACTTTAATGTGCAATGAGGAAAATTGTATTCGAACCGTCGAGAGTGCGTTCAGTATTGCTGACTCTACGAGCATACAGACACATCATCACTTGATCGTTGTAGGTTAAAACAAGTATAAAACAAGTACAGTATAGGGCATCACTTACAGTAACTACACAGCAGGAGATTTTCATGTGTTTTACAACCTAATATCTATCGGACATATTTTCCAAACTGCAAATATTTATAATAGCTTTACCTTTGGAATGTATTGGAACACAAAATTACTGGTACTCGTTTTTATGCAGGAATGAACATTGCTACTGAGAATGGCTACCAGCGTTTTGGCACTTGTATCACACTGAGTGTGAACACTCTTCAATGGGACGATGATGTTTCATGAAGGGTTGGTAGTGTGTCTGTTACATATTAGTACATGGTCATCTGCAAATACATATAAAATGTTCACTTGTTTCATCTGATTAAGGATAAAATGCTGTCACCTTGCCTTCTGCACGAGCAATCAGAGTATACAAGAAAGTTCAGAAAAACAGGTATTATAGAAGGCACAGTGGAAGTGCAGCATTGCTTATCTGTAGACAGCACTTAACATTGGGAGTAAATATGAATTTGTGTCCAGTGAGAACTAACTTGTCTGCATCAAGAGTAAAAAACGGGGTTTCTGTTGGAAGACAGTGGTCAGATTTTATTTGCTGTAAAATGAAGACGCTTAACTGAACAAATGCAGCAGTAGCAAAACCTTTTAACACTGTGTAATTTAATTCAAGCTTTCATTTATTTGCCATGTAGGCAATGTATTTATATAGTCATTGTGTTACTTGTTTTTGTTTTGTTTTCTCCCAGCAATTAATTTATAATTTTGGAGCTCAGTGTGCCATTACTGCATTGTTGCGATCCTTCATGTTGTGTACACGTAGCAGCAGATTAATTATAGTTGAGGGCTATTGTGAGTTAATTAAAGGTCTGCGAAAAGGCAAGGTCAGTTACTGGGTTAACAATGAGTTGATATTTAGCAAATATTTTACATTTACGATTTCTGTACTGGATTCTTCAGTTACAAAATTGTTTGCTGTTTGAAGGAGGGGTATCATATATATTGATGGATTTATTGTGAACTCGGAGATTTGCATAAGTTAACATTCTGTGTAGACTTAATTATGTGTGTAATTGTCAAGGTTTTGTCTATTAATCTTTCTGTGATTCAAAAATATAACCTTGCTCTGCAGAAATTCAACAATCAAGTCACATTTTTTATTAAACATTCACTGATGTTGCACACTTAATCTTCAGTTATCCAGTAATCAATCTTACTATTGGCTTTCAATTAAAAAGTGCTTATATACAGTACCTTATCAAAAGTTTTTTCTTGTACAAAGCACTTATGAGTTCTGTTTTGCTGTCAAGCACAGCAGAAGAACAAAATTAAAAAATGTCACTGTAATGCAGTGTTAGGTTGTTGTCTTAAGTTTATGGGTTTGAAAGAGTAATAAGGTATGGTGCAGTGTACATACAGAAATGCTAATTCTGAAACTTAAACTGCAGCTCAACAAATGCTTCAGACCACCAAATTTGTGTTGGAAGAAGGATGGTTTTACATGGGAGTCTACATAATCAGTTGAATGTCACTGTCAATTGTAAGCCAGTTATACCAATAATTATTTACTGTTGACTAAGAGCCTGTGACTAAATTCATTTGTGGTCTGTTTTAAATGATAGGTTATATAAAAAAAGCCTACTCATATTTATCTTTCAAATCTTGAAATAATATATTCAGTATATTGTATTCTAGAAAAACTATTTTTCAGTGGCATGATAGTATTGTCAGATTCGCTATGTGACAAATGGATTATTTTAAATTGAAATTCTTTGGCTTTATAATAAATTCAAACCTGTAATTACTCTGGTGTTCGAAACAGTGCGGGCAGAAGATTACTACTGAATATAAATTGTTTAAATGTTAAGGGAATAAACAATTTCTTTACTGATGTTTGTTCAAGATTCTTATTTTATCCAAATAATTTGCAAAATTGTCTAAATTTAATTTATTAATTTGGATGTGTATGTTCTTGTTTGTGAAGTATGCTGACAGAGACTGAGCCAGAGGACATAAACTACCTCACTTTGGTTTTACTTTTCAGTAATTTCTGAAGAGAAATGTTTTCTTAACTGGCTTAGAGTGATACTACAGGTGGGACTCTATCTGTCAGCACTACAAAGAAAAAGCACAGCTATGAAACATAAGTTTAAAGAACCCAAAATAAATTGGATGTCAAGCGGTTGCTTCACGAATCCAGCATGGAAATGTGATCCTCAGTTGGATTCTGCGCACGCACCTCATGCATATTTAATATGACAGGACAATATATTGGTGTTGCGTTGAATCAGTTATGCAGGAATCTGAAGGCTTGTTGAAATTATTTCAGAAGTAGACTGGTTGCAGTCTACACATTTCAGTATTTTTCCATTTGGGGGTTGGAATATCTGTTCAATGTGGGGAATAAAATCAAGTTATTTTGAATTGTTAGGTAAAGACTTTTTTTCATCACATTGCTGGTGTCATGTGCATTATAGAAAGATTGCTTTCCTTAGCATTTCCTTTACTTTTGTGTGCAGTTTGTTTTAATCTGTTTAGATATGCATCTGTATGTGAATTTAAATGTGTGCAAATGACATAAGTAGGGCGCTGCGGAAATTATAAGATCATAACCTTAGTGACATTATCATTTAAATTCTAAGACTAAAGACATAGAAGGGTTAATTTTGCCCAGCTGTTCTGAATGGACAGTCAAAGTCCATCTTGCATTTGCTTCCCTTAAGTCTGTACCACGGAAATTAAATTAATTTTATTCAGAACTCCCTGTTGTGTTATAATGTGTATGCACCATTGTTCTGAGTGTTTCTTGTTTGGAGATTGCAACAGTTGTCAGAGCATATTTCTGCTGATGATATTAATAACATGATTGCAGAAAGCTTACATTGATTTGTAAAAGTTATGAGTTTTCTAAAGTTCTTTTCATATGTCGTTTGATATTATATAGGACTAATTAAAGAAGCCAGACAATTTACTTTGCCAGTGTTCCATGAATATGATTAACAAAAGATCTGATTCCATAGGGGGAAATTTAGCTAAAATTATTTTATGTGATGAAAAGAAAAGACTACACTGAGTTTTAAAAATGT